AAAATAAATAATAAAGGGCCCATGGCATACTAATGGTAAAGATAAAGACAGAAAAACAAAACTGCCCATAGTGCTTTTTAAAAAGCAACAGGCTACTTAAAAACCTATATATATTTGTTTTATTTCAACAGATAAAGTATAGTTTGCAAATGTTTGAACTCCAAAGGGGCTTCCCATCATTGTAGTAGCATGTGCTGGAATCACAAAGTAGTTTGAATGGCATTCATTTTGGATTATTATTGTTCCCCCTTCCTGCCCAATTCTGAGTAATGCTATTATAGTCTCTTTGCCTCTACACACTAGAATTTTCATGCATAAATGTATGTATTTAAGAAAAATGGTGGCACTGTGTTTAAGATCCTGTATTAAAACTAATTAGGAGACCTACATTCTTTTTGCAACTCTGCTACAGACTGACAGTGTGGCCTTGGGCAAGCTATTTAGGCTTCATTCCCAAAGACTTATTCACGTTCTTAACATTGTATACTATGAATTGTCCCTATTCATAAAGTCACTCAGGCCCCTAGTTTGTACAGTTAAGCGTGCAGAATAAGATCCTTAATCTCACTGAGTGTCAGTTCCACACCTGCAAATTAAGACTAAGGTAACTTATTTGTCTGTCTAGTTAGACTGTAAGGTCTTTGAGGTAGGGACTGTCTCTCAATAAGCAGGTGCCCAGGGAACTTAGTCCACTCTAATCAGAGCCACCCCACTGCCCATGCACAAAGCCCAGCTCAGCAGTCCAATCTCTGCCTTTTTTTTTTTTGGCACCAGAACCAGATGGCACTGAGCCACCTTGGTGCCAGTCAGCAGGACCAGCAGAGACTGATGGCAATGAATGAGGCAAGTCTGTGGGGCCCCAGCATAGTGCTGCAGCAGAATTCATTTCCGGTGTGACCAGTGAGCCTGTCCCATCCATGGTGTGGTGGTGGCAAGTCCACCCGCTCCCCTGCACCCCCTGGTTCCTGCAATGGGAACTGGGGTTAATGTCAGAGAGAGAGGGAGTCAGAGGGAAGAATGGAGAGGCACACAGGAGTAAGCCAAACTCAACTACAACCAACTGTGGAATTGCCACACCTTTCCTTGCATTCCCAGTCCCCTCCTGCCACAGATACCCACATAAACCCTTCCCTGGTCATCCTTTTCCCCTTTCCATAACTCTTAAATGAACCTGTCTGATAGCCCCCATATAACCCCCAGGACTCTGCTTAAATCGATCCCACTCCCTAATTACCTATCTCCAAAGAAACACAAATTGAAATTGTTTACTTTAGATCTCTATATAGTCCTGCTTGTGGAAACAGAGTTTCCAGGGCAACTGCTTGTTAGAATGGTTTCCTCACAAATAGGGATAATAACTATTGTTGGATGATTAATCACTTTGTTTCCTTTTTGTGTTATGCTTAATCCACATCATGCTTTGCACTTTGTTTAGTTTTCCCAGGAAGCATTTACTCAGTAGCTATTTTAGTTATCAATATAGTTGAGAAGGTATTCAATTGGATGTTCACTGGCTTATTACTTTCCAAACCAATATTTGTTGTTTTATTTGTTGTGATCTTCATGTAGTAATGAGGCTTGGAAATGGCCTAGCAATTCAAGGGAAACCTGTTAAAGTGACCTGGGCTGTACGTGTTCCTACTATTGGTTTGTCACAAACTGTGAAAGAACTTGACTTTTTTTTTATTATTGATAGACCTAGAACCTCTAAACCTCATTTTTTTTCCAGGAGTAAGGATTCTTCCGAAAAAAGTTTTTTTTTTTTTCCTCAAAAGAACCCCGTCTAGACTGTGGTGGTTTTTTTTTAAACTTTTTTGAAATCGTTTGGATGTGATTATGCAAATGAAGTGCAAGATTTGTAAATGTGTGCTTCATTTGCATTTTTATGTCCTTCATTTGCATTCCTCTTTCGAGAGAGGAATGCAGTCTAGACATAGTCCTAGTGAATGAATAGGAAACAATGGGTAAAATGTATTTGGATTTTAAAATAAAAGCTAATATTGTCTCATGACCTTTGAAAATAAATCATACATTTGGCTTGGATATTAATACTGTCCTATGAATTGAAAACTTCTTCAAAGGTTACCTAACCAGGGAAAAGATAACTAGCCATGCCTCAGTTGTTGGGAGGTATTGTTGGAAGGTACATCATGTTGTGCCTGCGATGAATACATTGTTAGTCCAGAACTTAGACAAACATGGGAAACAGGTGGGGCAACCCAGGCAGAACTGAGACCAGGATAGTGGATCAGACATGGTTCACCAGAGTTAGCCTCTGGCAGGCCACCAGACACTTCATTTACCTCCCAACAACTGAGGCCACCAGAGACTTTATTTACCTGAGCATCTGCAGGTATGGCCACTAACAGCTCCTGTTGGTTGCTGTTCCCAGCCAATGGGAGCTGCAGAAAATGGTGGCCTGGCCCACACTGCTTCCTGCAGCTCCCATGGGCCAGGAACGACAAACTGTGGCCAATGTGAATGTTGAGTGGCCATACCTGCAGATGCTCAGGTAAATAAAGTCTCTGGTGGCTAACCCTGGTGAACCAAGTCCAGCATATGGGCCACTTGTTGCTAACTCTGGCTTAGACTCTCATCCCGCCTTTTCAATGATAGGTATGCAGAATATGGGACAAGTGTATTGTTAGATTACAGCGTCCAGCTGGCATACATAAAGGGGGAGAACAGAGATACTTTTGCTGAAACTTTCCCCATCTTAGTTCTACTTGAGTTAAAAAAAAAAAAAAAGTACATCACTTCTGGGAGCAGAATTAAAAAATTCCTGCAGTTGGAATTGGAGCCTGAAACCTATCCAACTTGTTTGTATTAATTACAGTTACATGTATATAATGCTTGTTTAAAGATTAATAAAAATACAGCTGGGAGGGAGGAGGAAGGAAGAAGTGTGATCATTCCTGGTGAAGCCTTGACTGAACCTTATAGCACTTCAGAAAGGGGAAGCTTTTATTTGGGGAAAGCATCTGCTTTAGGAAAGGGAAAATAATTTTTCCCATCTAGTACACCTACTTGTCTTCCCACCAACTTAAGCTCTGTATTCCTCAGATTTCGTTTCAGCTCTCTGACTTTTATACATTTGCTGATATTAGGTGCTTAGATTATTGGGAGATGTTGCTATCAGCATGGGAAGTGATTAGGATATAGTGGTATATTCATATGGTTGTTCAGTGGGTCAATAGAATATATCTCTGAGGGATTCAGTGTGAGAGTTCCAGTAAAAGAGAAGAAGTTGTCCATTAGGAAGCTCTGAATGCAGCCCAAATGGAAGAATCACATCCAACTGTGTGCTTTCTCCATGCAATTCCTTAGCTGGCTAAATGTTTGGAGCCTGAAATGTGCTTGTGCATGTAAGATGAATTTAGCAAAATGGGGCCCACATACTGCTTCTGGCACCACAATCATATTAATGTTTAATAATAAAAATAGGGCTAGTTTTACCCTGTATCCATGTTAATATACTGTATAATTCACACTACACAGTTCAGTTTTCCTAATTACAAAGATTTTTTTTTTTTGGTCTAGAAAATGAAGTGAATTTCTTTGTACATTTCAGATTTTAGAGCATTCAGTGCCACACACCATAGATCATGGAACAAGATAGCAATTAGTCATAGCCTCTCTCATTATGATGTCTTCATCCAGTACTTCCCAATATGAAGATTGTCTGCGAAAGGGGTTCATTGGAGCGCTTTTAGGGAGATGAAGAGTCCTCTCTGATGGACTGCAAGCTTTTTGCGGTGAAGAAGCTTGCGTGGACTAAAGAGCCTAAAAACTATATTGTTTGGAGCTTTCGTATAACATACCTGTGAAAGCGTTCATTCTTACAGTGCTTGAACTAGTTTGAAATTGTTTCCCCTCAGTCTGTAAGATATTACAACCAAGACTTTTTTTAATCATTGCATAAATTCTTCCTGGGTCTCATATTTCCCTTTTTAGACCCATTATTGATTTAAAGATGCATTTTTTTTTAAAAGTCAGTTTGTAGATGGTAAATTTCTTTTAACTCTCAAAAGCTACCACATTGTTGTATTTTGATGATCTAACTTAAACAGAGCTAAAACTTCTCTTTTTAATTTAAAGTTCCTGAAAGCTATTTTAAGACATAACTGAGTTGCTAGCTTTTGTTAGCTGGTTGAAATTATGTGAGGTGGTCATGTTTAAGTGAATGATGTGTTTTGAGATAATGTGAGTCCAGGGATTAGCAGAGTGGATATTATTAAAATTTTTGTATTAATAGTGAGCAATCAGAATGTCAGCTGAAAATGATTTACCACTTGAGTCAATACCAGCAGAGCATTCCTGTGCTCGGAGTGCTTAAAATCATTATATTTCAGGTTAATATTTATAATTGGAGGTGGGAATAGAAAAGTTAAAGAATGACACCTCTGCTGCAGTAGTGTTGCTTTGCACCATTTTGCTGTGGTAAAGTAACCCTAACAGTCGCATAGTTGATAAGTGAAATACTGGAGTGGCATAGAATTGGTACAACGGCTTTTATGCTCTTTTCTGTTGCATAGGGGATATGGTTGCTGAGAAAGGGACTTTGCACTGGACTTATCTCCATTCTGGTGTGTCCTGACTGCTTTCATTGTGTCTATTGGGAGCTATGCCTGAAAGCATCTGTTTTACACTGGGGAGGACTAGCTTGATCCACAGTTGACACAGGGTCAGTGAAGTGCAAAAGTGACTTAAAGTCACTAATGCAAATAGCATTTTCTAAAATCTACTATTTGACCACAATAAAAAATTAGACCACAGAGTACAATTTTTTCAAATGTTTTTGTTTCTTTGTTTATTTCAATATGTTCTCTTACTGTGCTTATAAATCCCAGACTCCTAGAAGTGATATTCCATGTACTTTAAAAATTGACTATAATCTCAACAGCACAGTTGAAAAACAGTCTGAAACAAATAGTGTTTTTCCCGAGTACCGTTCATACTGTCAAAATCAATTTCCTGTATTGTTTTCTGTTTTGTTTTAGATTCCACCAAGAAAATTAAGGATGTTCTGGAAGAATTCCATGGTAATGGTGTGCTAGCAAAATACAATCCTGAAGGGGTAATTCTTTTTTTTTAATTCGGTTATTTAAAACTGTAATTAATGTAAAAATGTTTTAAATGGCATGATAAAATATACATTTATAAATAGATATTTATATATACATTTTCTGCTTGAAGTTGTTGCTGTATTCTTCAAAAATAAAACATACTTAAGAACTAAAAAAGGATCTATTTAATGAATCTGTTAATATTATTTGTCAGAAAGGGACTTCAAGAAATGCAAAAAGCAGAGAAAACTCTGCCATCATTCAAAAGGCAGAGAACACTCATGTTTATTCTGATGAGTAATATCTTTGTGTAAACAAATGTATAGTTGCTTTTTATTTAAAGAATAACTTACAAAAACCTTTGAGCTGAAGTTAATATGCTGCCACACAATAGTGCCTTCTCTTCTGCATATCCTTCTTGTGTGTGGAACTTTATAACACGAAATTCAAATGTTAAAAAAAACCCCAAGAAATGCATACTTAAGATCTCCTCATGTATCTGATAAACAATGTGTAGGTTAAAAGAAAACATTAAGAAAATTAGGCTTATTTGTTTGCTAATTCACATGCAACATTAATCCTGAACACACAAGAGGATCCCTACTCCTTATTGCATCATTTTGAGTGTGTCTAGACTACAGGGTTTTGTCGACAAAAGTCCACTTTTGTCGACAAAACTATACCTGCGTCTACACTGCCGCTGAGTTCTGTCGACATAACATCGACAGAACTCAGCAGTTTTGTCAATGGCTGTAAACCTGATTCTATGAGGAATAATGCCTTTTGTCGACAGAGTTCTGTCGACAGAAGGCGTTATTGCATCTACACTGTCCTTTGCATCTACATTGTCATGTAGACAAAGCAGCTTGCTTTGTCGACAGAACTGGATGTATTCTAGATGCTCTGGGTACGTCTAAACTACATGGCTCCATCAAAGGAGCCATGTAGATTTGTTGTTTTGGCAAAGGCAAATGAAGCCGCGATTTAAATGATCGCGGCTTCATTTAAATTTACACGGCTGCCATGCTGAGCCGACAAACAGCTGATCAGCTGTTTGTCCGCTCAGCGAGCTAGTCTGGACGTTCCCCTGGCGACTAGCCAAAGGAAAAGAAAGCCACTATTTAAATGATCGCGGCTTCATTTAAATTTACATGGATGCCTCGCTGAGCCGACAAACAGCTGATCAGCTGTTTGTCGGCTCAGCGAGGCATCCATGTAAATTTAAATGAAGCCGCGATCATTTAAATCGTGGCTTCATTTGCCTTTGCCTATGTGTCTAATGTACATTCCTCTGACGACAGAGGCATGTAGTCTAGACACAGCCTCTTTGTCGACAGTATCTGTCAACAAAACTTCTGTCGACAAAAGCCTGTAGTCTAGACGTACCCTTTGTGAATAAGGAATATTGGCCTGAATTGCAAATTCTTCGAGCGAGATGTCTGCATGGATGCTTCACTCGTGTGTTGGGGTGTTTCTGTTCCTTCATATGGAGATTTTTTGCATCATTGTCCCTCTGAGTCGCATGTGCATGGGGTATGTCTCACGACCCCTTTCATTTAAATTGCTGTGCACAGGACCTCAGTTCCCTTTCTACTGTCCCGGGCAGACACAGAGTTCAGCAGTCATGCTGTGAAAGCATTCTCCTCAGACCAGCTTTAGTTAGAATAGTTTTTCATCTTTTCTCCATTTTGAATTAACGTTAATAGCGTCTACACAGGCAAACTGTTATTTTGAAATAAATTCGAAATAAATTCGAACTAGCGGAGCGCTTATTTCGAATTTGGTAAACCTCATTCTACGAGGAATAATAGCAAATTCGAAATAGCTAAATTGAAATAAGCGTTGTGTAGATGCTTTTTTCAAAATAGGGGGCCTCCAGCCCCTCCCAGGGTGCCCTGGTGGCCACTCTAGCCACAACCAAGAAAACTCCTCTTCCTCCCCCTGTCCCCGGAGCCCTTAAAGGGGTAGACTCTGGCCACAGTGCCTGTGCCAGCCCAGAGCCAGCAGTCGCTGTGCCTGATCCAGTAGCCCCACTATGAGCCAGGCAGCCAGCCAGTGCCAGGCAGCCCTCCACTGCTCCCCGGGCCCAGTCCCCCAGCCCCCAGGAGCCTGCCAGGGGCTAGAAATGGCGGGCGCCTGCCTGGTCCGGTGCGGAGATCAGAGACCTAATTCAGGTTTGGGGGGATGCCTCCAACATCCATGATCTCCGCACTAAACAGAGGATCACAATTGTATATAGGCGAATGGCTGCCAACTTGGACACCTAAGGCCATATGCAAACCTAGGAGCAGGTTTGCATGAAAATAAAGGAGCTGAGGCAGGCATATGCCAGGGCCACAAGGGCAGCTCCCTACCAGGGGCAGACCCAGACCTCTGTCCCTATTTTGATGCTGTGGACCGCATCCTGGGGGGCAGGACAGTCTGTGTCCCCCACGTGGTCATCAACCCTGGGGCAGAGCTTGCTGCCTCCTGTTGCTCCAGCCCCTGCTGCCTCCCCAGCTACTGCTCCTCCTCCTACTCCTTCTCCCCCTCTTGCTTCTTCCTCCCCACACTCCCGAGACCCCGGCATCCATGCTGCTGGGAAATGCCGAGGCCCCCGCATCCATGCTGCTGGGAGACATTTGGGCCGGCGAGACCCCCCTGAGCCCTGAGCTTCTCCTCCCCCTTCCTCCCCTTGCCTCCCGCTGCCAGCTCCCCCCCTCTCCTACCTTCTTTCCCCAGTCTGACCTCAGTTTCATTCCCCCTGCCACCCCAGTTTTGCTCAATAAAGAAGCTTTGTTGTAAACAGCTCCCTACCAGGGGCAGACCCAGACCTCTGTCCCTATTTTGATGCTGTGGACCGCATCCTGGGGGGCAGGACAGTCTGTGTCCCCCACGTGGTCATCAACCCTGGGGCAGAGCTTGCTGCCTCCTGTTGCTCCAGCCCCTGCTGCCTCCCCAGCTACTGCTCCTCCTCCTACTCCTTCTCCCCCTCTTGCTTCTTCCTCCCCACACTCCCGAGACCCCGGCATCCATGCTGCTGGGAAATGCCGAGGCCCCCGCATCCATGCTGCTGGGAGACATTTGGGCCGGCGAGACCCCCCTGAGCCCTGAGCTTCTCCTCCCCCTTCCTCCCCTTGCCTCCCGCTGCCAGCTCCCCCCCTCTCCTACCTTCTTTCCCCAGTCTGACCTCAGTTTCATTCCCCCTGCCACCCCAGTTTTGCTCAATAAAGAAGCTTTGTTGTAAAGAACACATGTCTTTTATTGTACAGCAGGAAGCGGGGTTAGGAGGGGTAAGTGGAAGGACACGAGGGAGGAATGAGGCACAAGCCCCCAGTGGGGCACACCAGGGAGAATTACTAAATTACTGCCTGCAGAACATGCTGTCAGGCTCCCAGCAACGTGTCTAGGAAAAGTGCCAGAGTGCCCAGGGGCAGCTCCAGCTCCATGTTGCAGAGTGCTGTGGTATCCTGAGTGAGGGCAATCAGAGCATGCAGAGAAAAAAATGCTTTGCTGTCCCTCAGTGAGGTAGGCAAGCAAGCAGGGAAACCTTAGAACCAGCTGTCCAGAGGTGTCCCTTTATGCACAGATCTCAGATGCCTTGTGTGTCTGCTGCCTGAGGTTAACTCCTGACCTGATGCCCTGCTATAACGTGTTCCGGCCGGCCTTAAATGCGATTCAGCGTCCTATCAGTGTGGACGCACTATTTCGAAATAGCAAAATGCTATTTTGAAATGCATTTTGTGTCTAGATGCATTATTTCAAAATAAGTTATTTCAAAATAACTATTTCGAAATAAGATATTTTGAAATAATGCTGTAGTGTAGATATACTCTTAGTTAAGTACTAGTTTTGGAAAAAGAAAAACAAACTAATAAAAAACCTTCACTCCACCAGACCTTTAAAAGTTCCTGATCAGTGAGATACCCAGCTCCCCAGGCTCCAGGAGATGTGCCTCTGATGAGCACAGCCAGTGTATCTGCTGTATGTGTGAGAGGCTTGTTTCCCTCCATTTCCACCTCCCTCCATGCCAATAGTGTATCCACTGTGCAGAACTGAAGCCCAGGGCATGAAGAGATAAGGATCTGAAGCTGAAACTCCTCCTAATGGAGAAGTCACTTTGACCAGCCTGCAACCCGGGAAAAGGGGTACACTCAGCAATGGGCTTCCCCAACAAAGCTGATCACAAGGTACCCATAGCTGTTGAAAGCAGCAAAAAAGTGGCAGACAGCTTCATTGCAGAGACCTCAAAAGAGGAAAAAAAGTGATTTTTAATGAGATCTCTGCCGCCACCACAGACTGCTCCTAGATTGAGCACTGTCAGCACTCCAAGCACTGCAGACACAGCCCGTATCACTCCCACACATAGCACTGATGCCGACACTAATTCAGCCACCCTCCCTGACACTCTCTGGGCACTGGCAGCACCTCAGGCAGAATCAGCACTGTGTTGCTCCCACTACAGCAGCTCTCTGTCACTCCTTGCCAGCAAAGAACCATGCATCTGTCAGTGCAGGCAGCAGTACCACAGTTGGCCGGACCATAGGTTTATACTCACCACTGAAACTCGCGAGTCTCCCCATTACCAGTATCCTCCCTGCTTGCGGCACCCCTCTCACCTACTTCATAGGCTCCATGCCGTGGCTACTCATGGAAGTCTTCACCCTTGTCCGGTGATGAGGGGGCAGGCTTTCTCTTTACCACTCGCCTCCCTCGAGCCCGAAGACTTGAAAAACAGCCAACTTACCTATTGCAACTAGCCACCACCTTGGTACAGGCACCAATAGGGGCCACCTCCCTCCCATTTTCAGTGAGTGCAGTTGTTTATAAACTTTTTAAAAAATTAATTTTTTAAGGATATTTAGGGCATCCTTAGCTGAACAGGGAGCTGTGAAATTTATGCTGCTTTTGGTACTGTCCTCAATTTGATTCTTAATCTGCCTGTGCGTATTTGTCTACTTCAGTCTTTGGAATAAAGCCAGATAATGCTTTTTAGCACCTCCATGCAGTGCTAAAGAGCATTAAATAGCTT